GGGGGGAACTACCACAAAGAATATCATGCATAATTCTCTGTGGGCATGGTCAAATCTGATGACGAGTCCAGTATACGTGTGTGCAGTACGGTACTAATTATATCAGCACAGAGAAATACACACATTGTACAAAATGTACATGTGCTAGCGTACATGTATATCAACATTAGTTGGTTCATGTGCCCCTGTTCCTGTTATAATGATTGACATATTGTTTTCCTTATTACCATTCCGGAATGTATGCTGCCCTATATAACGATGTATGTTGATACTGATGCGAGACTTACGAGACTCTATGAAAGCAAATGTAATTGTCAGGAAAATTAATCTATGCCACACAAATGATCACAAACACTCCGATCTAAGGTTACAATTAATCAGGAATTATACAAACAATAGCAACATTCCTGTATGTTTTAGTTAGCCTGGATATATGTACTATAGTTTATCTGTGGTAAACACAGGGGCCAGATTTGTTAGGGTGAGTTTGTGTATATACCATAGTTTATCTGTGGTAAACACAGGGGCCAGATTTGTTAGGTTGAGTTTGTGTGTACCATAGTTTATCTGTGGTAAACACAGGGGCCAGATTTGTTACGGTCAGTCTGTGTGTACCATAGTTTATCTGTGATAAACACAGGGGCCTGAATTACTGTAGTGTATATATATGGTAAGTACAAGTACCTGATGAATTCAGAAGTGCATTAAAGAGATTCTTCCATGTTTGCATGCATGGTCACAATATTGATAAATAAGTTATTTCATAACTGTTGTAAAAATTCAATAAAGTTTCATATAAAATTAGGTAGGAATGGGAGTACTTATGAGTATGGGCAGTTATCACTGGTTTATAAAAGCTTCATAGAATTAATTAAGATACTTGGTATACAGGATGCCACTTGACTGAATGGCAATAGTGAATAGCTATTAAAACTAAACAGATTTAGATGTACTTTCAGCCAACTCAATTTCAGATGCCATTAATTACAATTTTCAAAAACTTGAAAAAGAAACTTCAATAGTGTTTTCTCATGCACTAACTACAGAATCGAGGGACTCTGGAGAAGAAATCTATTGTCCTTACCCCATCAACATTATCTCCCTTGTCCGGCTCAACCTCAGTGACCCTAGATTGGTCAGTGGTTGGCTCTGGCCTGACGGGTCGAGTAGGAATGACTTTGGCCACAGGGATAGAGCCGGGGGATGAGGGTGAGATGGGGCTCTTCTTCCGGTAGTTCTGCGGGAAAGGGTAGGACACCGGCGTACAACGTCCATAGTGAATAGCCCCACACGGCACACTTCCCCGACCCCTGACCCCTGGGGCAGTGCTTGCCATCCCACTGGCTCCATAGTCGCACGCGTCACAGTAGTGAACAGATCGCTTCCAACGGAGCTCGATACGATTGCTGTGGTACACATTGACACGGGTATGTACGTACTGGGCTCCGGCCCAGGTCTTCTGCATAATACCCGTCCCACCTATGTCAGATCCCTTTGACAGCGGGCCTAATCTGACTTTGACGGAAACAGCCGGCACCAGGCCTGCTCCGACATCAACGGACCTTGCCGGCACCACAAACATGTAAACCTTTTATAATATCCACAGAAACATGTAAACAAGGGTCACTTCACACTTCCTTTAGAACTATGACACCTTCACGAATGTTTATGGAACTTCTGCTATATTCCTTTGTGTATATATATATAAATATATTAAATCACCTCCTAGATCATTTTGTGATCATTCAAAATGATTCATTGAAGTACCGAAAGGCTGCATCCTACATGATTATAGTGAATCAGGATCTGTACCCAGCACTCTGGGTCATAGGTCAACCAAGAGGTCAAGCTGTCCACCAGTTGGTAATCCTTGCCATGAATTGTCGTCAATCTTGGTCGACTATAGTTTAACACGTCACATTAAGCATCACTATATTGTGTCACCCTAATTGGTCCTGACTTGACATGATTGTAGATAACGAGACAAATTCATGTCTACGCTACTTGAATTAAGATGTATGGATGTAAAAAAGCTAAGTGTTTTAAATGTTCTATCTTTCCACCATAGTCCCCACACCCTTGGCCATGAAACGTCAACTGCAACTTTATGAGACAGAGATGTGATTTCTTTGATAGAAATTGTCGTAAAATCTGGGCAGTATGCCTTAATTCTAGTATAAAAGTCCTTCGCTCCAAATGTAAAGTTCGCAGTGCTGATTTAACACCCCGAGACGTGATGAGGGTTCTCCGTAAAAACCTTCCAGCGACACATAGAGTGTAAAGACTTTTAAATCTCCAGACAGTTCAACAAAACATTTAAGTGATTAAGACTGAGGAGGAGACTGGAAACCTCATCTCAACCATCAAAATTAAAATCTGATAAACGTGGCCATTTCCAAGCATGTCAGAGACAAGATACCATTAGTAAAATTTTCAAAACACCAAGCTTGTACAAGTCTCAGATTTCTTCCTAATTTTCTCGCAAGAGGGAAACTCATAATTCCGAAGAGCTGAGAGTTTTGGTGAATTGTAACCCTGATCTCCTAGGATGCAGTAGGCTTGCTAGCATTGATAACACCCACACCGGTGTCAGATGGGATATGGTAAAAGTAGGTTCTCCTGGGTGAGTTCACAGTCTTAGCACAGTTGTTGTAAAAACTGCCCGGAAAAATCTCATAGCCTAATTCACATTTTAGACATGAACATCACCGTTCAGCTGACCAGTTTTTCTGACACACAGAAACTTGTGTGTGTATCTGTTTGAAACAGGTATTAATCAAAACATCCCAGGTATATCTATAAAACACTGAAGTTAGTATCAGATACACACACGTTTTGTATACTAGATATTACAAGATGGACCAGCAGCCCAGAAGAAAACCTGGTCTTTGGTACAGATGATCATGAGTTCTGATTTCCTGAGATATAAAGTACACCAGCTAGAAGTTTGTATAGCACAGAAGTTTGTATCCTGAGAATGTAGCACGGTATACGACCCAGTGCCTGCCGTCACACACTGTGTATATAGACTGATTTACAAGGGATGCCCTCTCTCCTCTCTACACTCACCTGGTCAGACAGATAGCACTATCTGGTCCCCCCTGGCAAGGCCAGTCAGTCCTCCCCGAATCTCAAGGATCTAGTACATTCTTCGGCACTTACTTTTAGTCCTCACAGGAAACCAAAACTTTTAAAACTTCCCATTAAATTCCACTTTTGCATTCATGTGTATATAATGATTTATAACACGAAAAGACAATCACAATCACTTGTCCATAGAAAACTTCATGTAAAAGTTGCTCACAACATTTTAAAGTTCTGTAAGTTCCAAGAGTTTGAAAGTTTAAATATCCATGTCATCATGAGGTGCTCCTGCTCATAAGATACTGGTAAAATTAATGAAAACAGCTACCAATATTTTCTCGTTTAAAGAAGTTTTATATCATATTTCATACATAGCATCCTGAACGCAAATCTCTAAGCAGTGAAGTCCTGGTAATTGCGTAGTATCCTGGGTGAAAAGTTTCCATATCCTGAGGATAGAGACACTCACACTTCGTTGTTTATGTTATTTTAGCCACATCCTCACTGATCAGACCCTCCCACATGCTTCTCTAAGGTAGAGGGGGGTTCACACATGTATACAGACTCCTGTAACTTGACTGGGGTACAGAGGCTGCACCACATGTACAGCGTAACATCTCCCTGCTCCTCATCAGCTGTAGATACACACTTTATTGCCACTCGTAAACAGGAGTAAACCAGTCTCCATTCTTGAAAACCTCAGCACTGATACTGTACTATGTGTTTACTGTATGTGAGTGTATGCATGTGTGTGAAGGGGGTTGGGGGAGGGAGGGGGGAGGGNTACGGATAGGTCCACTGTATAGGTCCACATGTACAGAAGTGTTACAGGTCTGCAAGTTTAACCATTTGTATCCCTGTCTAGGTCTGTAAGTGTTTTTATGTGGTACCCAGAATAGGTTAATAAGTTAAAATGTGTACCTCAGAAGAGGTCTATAAATTCACACATATGTTCCCCAGTCCAGGTCTATAAGTTCATGTGTGTACCTCAGAAACAGTCTATTAGCTTACACATGACGTGTAACCCGGTGTAAGTCTATGAGTTTATGTGTATAACTCAAGAAAAGGTCTATAAGTTCAAAGGTCATGAGAGCAGTACCCAAGTGTAGGTCTTTATGGTTATATGTGTATATTTCAGTATGTAGAGATCTATATATTTACATGTGTACTAAAATTATGTGGTCTATGAGTTTATGTGTGTACCTCAGAAAGGGTCTGTAAAGTTATATATATATATATGAATGACCCAGTCCAGGTCTTTCAAATTACACATATACCCCAGGAAAGAACTTGTACCTATTTATAATATTTCATCTTATATTATCAATGGAAACAAGTACAGCTACCTGTAAGTTTATATGTGTAATCTTATGTAGGAGTGTATCTACCTATACTTCTATACTAGTTATACCAATGAGCAACTGATGTCGCCACAACACTTCCAGTTATCACATCATCTATATATAATCATTAACACTGGGACGAACTAATCAAGTGTAACGTTATAATATTGATGAAGTAGGTCATTACCGACAAGAGCAGTCTTCAAATAGGTCATTATCAATTAAGGCAATATTCATACACCAGGTTATAATCAGTCTGCATTAGAAATCTATAGATAAGTTATTATTATTTTACACTATAACGCCTTACAGATGTTAAGTTAATAATTTTTTGAAATGGAAAAAAAATATTATGTGAAAATTTTCTGTTAGAAAGAAAAACAAAATTCACTTTATTTTAGAAATAAATATATAATCATTGATATTTAGTAAGTGAATAGGATATGAATTAGCATATTAATTAAATAATGTAATTTTTGAAAAGTCAACAAAGGGAGATAACTTTTGTTTACCATGTATATTCTCTCCTATATTTTCCTAGCTGGTCTTCCTTAAATACGTATAGAATAAATATGTACAAGACTGATCATTGCCGCTTGAACCCAACCCTTAGAACACTGCTAATTAAATCTCAGCCTATCACTGCTGTCATCCTAATAAAAACGGTCTGACCTTGACATTCGACCCGACATGACCTGTCAAACAGTCAATCGACAGTCAATGTGTCAATCAAAGGTGTAATGTCCAGATTGGAATACAAACTTTTGTCAGTGTAAAAATTAAGTGATACTTCCAGAGTGTAAATGGTGTAATTCAAGAAATTACACCTAATGATAAATTAAAAATTTGAACAATTTGTTGAAAGGGTGACAGTCAATAATTCCCGTAACATCTATTGATTGAAATGCATTCCTCCACATCCACCATTAGCAGTAGATTTTCAGGAACGATTGTCTGTTATTGAAGAATATCACAGTGAATTCAATTCCAAATCAGATGTAGAGATCGCCCATGATCCATCTACAGCAGAATTTCGGGAGAGAATATCTGGTATTGAAGAATATTACACGGGAAATTCATTTCTGAATCAGATGTTGAGATCCACAGAGAACCATCCAAAGAATATCCAACACTGCTTCCAAAATGTATCCTTCTACCGTCGAAAGTTGTCCAAACAATCTATCCAATATATATTTTCTTCATCAGAATATCTGACTCATAATTTACAGTTACTATACTGTACTTATCAAATTCATACTTGTAATTGATTGAACACCAGAGTCGACGTACACTTTTGCTCTCAAATATTTATGACAGTGTTAAAAGTGTGATCACTTCTGGTCCCGAATTCACCAAGTCAGCACTGTCGACACATTTCATACTCAAATCAAGCTTTTATCACATCCGGATTCCTCCTTTCTAATAATTTATTTTGTCTGCTGTCAAACTATAATAGGTGAAAAAGTACTTGAATTCAAAAGAAATCGTGTGCCGTTATGTAATAGTCGAAGTTAAAAGTTTTCTTCCAAGTGTCTATCTCTGTAATCCTGTTACTGGCTTCCAAACACTTCACAGTAAGGTGCCACCTACACCTTATAATGTACACGTATCATTAAAAGGAAATGTTTTGAATTTAAACTCGCAATTCTTCGAGCATAATCCATACATCCATCTCAGTTCAGTTCTCCTTCCAATCCTGTCTTTATTTCTGGTGTCACAACGTCCACATACAACAAAGTACTGTAAACTAGCTTTGTAAGTACGTATACAGGATATACAAACAATGACAACCACTTCACAGTGCCTGCAAAGATGTAAGCCAATCACTTAATTGTCTCGAGACAAAAGAAGATATTCAAAATTAGAAATGGTGTAACTCTGGTAAATCGTGTCATATATTAGGCCTGTGTTTATAGGCAGCGAATGATTCACTTGACCGTTTAAGCCACTGGCGGACAGATGAAAATCCTGGTGGAAAAAAACTCCCAGTAAAAGAGATAAAGTTCCACAATCTCGTCCAGGTGAGAAAGATAGGTTAACGAGATTGATGGGACATTCTATCACATACCTGGTTTGGCCATGTGGGACTACATAGTTGTATCGCGGCGAGGACCATGTAATACACGATTGTACAGGTAAATAGCGGCAGTCACTCAGCCGTAAATACAATATACACACACAGGTAGTAAGACGTTATAACAGTATACACAGGTAAACAACAGGTAAATCCAGAGATATTTATATCACTAGCACAATAATGTAATATTACTGCCCCACTGATCTCATTATAGCAAAATGTCAAAATTAATGGTAGTACTAATTGAATTTTTTCTTTATCTAATTCTGTTTATGGTGAGATCTGTCATTCGGAAGTGGAAATTAATATGCGTGAGTGATATATTGTGTGTAAGTGTTAACAGCAGAAGCCCGAGGATGTCGTCTCACAACGTTATTCGTTACAAACTGTCGCACAATAAGTAAAAGTTCTACGGCCAAATATCCTGTATACACAACCGAGGTCTATCTCTCTAGGCTAAATCTCAGACAATCTGAACATAAACACATGTCTCACCACAAAACCACATTGTCTGATGGTCATTTCACAGTCCTTGGGTGGAGAATCACACGAAGTTAGCTAGAGTTAATGATAAGCTTGCTAGGTTGTTCAAACCTCGTCTTGCTGAATTTTAATATTACTTTTACGTTGAGTCCTAAGTGGTGTTTGTAAACAACTTAGTAACTTAGATGAACTTTAGGAAACGAGTATACCTGATTTTATCACCTGAGCCAGTTATAGAATACCAGGAGATATTACAGAAAAGTCACACTGTAAAACCTTTACACATCTATGAAATCATTGAAATAAAAACAAAATCTGCATTTGAAATAATTTCGCCGACCTATCATAATTTCTAAATGCACCAGAAAACAGCATAAATTGCTAGTTTTATAATCTTTGTAAACGTATTTTCATTCATGCATATATAACATTGAAATATATAAGAACCAAATGACAAAATAAAAATCCTGAATAAATTTCTTTGAAGCTGACGGGGGTATAGCAGTAGTTTTTATCAATATGCACCATACAAAACCCTTCGCAATCAGTGTCACGTAACACTCACACACTCATCTCAGCTCCCGTACAAATCAAATCACCCTTAGCAACAGCAAAGAATCAGCCTTCCATTACTGGGAACCAATCAAAGAAATCCTAATTGAAATGCTGATTGTTTTAAGACAAAAAAGACAAATCTAAAACTTGCTTACCCACAAATTATACCAAGTGCTGAGGCTTGAATGTAGCCAAACGACCTTGACATTTAAACAAACGTGTCAATAATTATCCAATGACCTTGACCTTCTAGATTTATGATTGCATGACCACCATGAATTAAAAACCTCAAAGAGAACAGTTTCTAACACAAATTTTGAATTATTTTACCTGAAGTAAAAGAATTCATGTTGAACCAATTATCCTTGTAGTTGAGTAAAAATTTGGTATTCAGAATTTTGTTGATTGACTAGACGTCTCAGGAATTATGATATATTCAACTTGATAATCTAAATATAAATAGACTTTATTCATTTTACAACAATAATGAAACAAGTTATTTCAAATTATATATCAATCACTCTTGTTGGCCCAGATGTAAGTGTGCGCGGTGTCTGATTGGGGGAGCTAGGAAACCGGAGTTCCCAGAGAAAACCCACGCGGTCGAGTAGGTGACCCTAGGCCGCCTTGGTGAAATGCAAGTGCACATATACACTGCGCCACCAGACCTCCGAAAAGATTTGGTAATTTGTGCCCAATCTTTTTGTTTCAATTGACAAGAACTAAGCTCATGCAAGCTAGCAAAAGGGCATTTTTTAATGAAAAGACAAAATGATTAGCATTATTTACATGAAGAAAGCATGATGTGAGAAAATACTATCAAACTAATTTTATTCAATTCCAAAAATTACATTTATTACTTATTTGAGTTATAAACTTGTTGGTAAGCCAACAAAGATTAAGGTAATAGGATTGTGTCGCCATTTCTCAGTAGAATTTATTCAAATTTTGTAGATATATTGCTTTGAAGTAAAGAAAATTTTCTGCCACAAAAAAAATAAAGGCTGTCAGAATTTTAAGGATTTTAAAAGGAAATAAAAAGGAGTGAATTTTGAAAAAAAAAATTGAAATACACAATTGTGTGCAAAATAATGTCAATAAAAATGATACTAACATAGATTAGTATTGCATTAATGTATATCAATTTCATAAATGCTGAAATTGTGTAAAATGAATTATCTATAAACAATCAAAGATTGACATTTTATAATAAAACCATATACACATAGTAATTGTATGCAAGAGTTATCG